CCCTGTCCTGTAGGATAATCCTTAAAAAGGGGATATTATTTTCAGGATAATCCCCTAAAAAGGGGATATTCTTGTTAGGATAACCCCTAAACATGGGATATCCTTTTCAGGATAACCCCTTAAAAATGGGATATCGTTTTTAGCATAAACCCCTAAAAATTTGGTATCCTCTTTAGGATAATCCCCTAAAAAGGGGATATTCTTTTTAATATAACCCCCTAAAAAGGGGATATTCTTTTTAAGATAACCCCCTAAAAATGAGATACCCTTTTTAGCATAACCCCCTAAAAACAGGATATCCTTTTTAGCATAAACCCCCACAAAGGGGGTATCCTCTTTAGGATAATCCCCTAAAAATGGGATATCCTTTCTAGGATAATCCCCGAAAAAGGTGATATCCTTTTTAGCATAACCCCCTAAAAAGGGGATACCCTTTTTAGGATAAAAATGGGATATCCTTTTTAGCATAAACCCCTAAAAAGGGGGTATCCTCTTTAGGATAATCCCCCCAAAAGGGGATACTCTTTTTAGGATAAAAATGGGATATCCTCTTTAGGACAATCCCCTAAAAAGGAGTTGATGGTGGAGGAGAGCAGGGGGTTGTGGAGGTTTGACTCCAGGCTGGGTCTAAGTGCAGGCTCGAGCTCTGCCAGGGTTTTATCCACACCCTTCTCTAACTCGGAGGGGGCCCAAGGGACTCCTCTCGCCGTGCCTCAGTTTCCCCAAACCAACAGCATGGGAGGGGAGGGCAGGGTGGGGATTAACCCCTTCCCAGCTGCTCCTCCTGAAATCCATCCTGCCAGCTCCGAGAGCAGCTTACCCAAAGGAACTTTTTCCCCACGAATCCCCACGGAACGGGCACTGAGGGGGGGTCCCTGTGCAGCCCCCTCCCCCTGATCCCACCCCATCCCTCCCTCTCCTGACCGAACCCTCTAGAAAGGGCTGGAAGGAGCCTCGCCCCGCGTTCCCACCACACCCCACCCATCCCTGCCGTGCCATCCATCCCTCCCTGCTGCAGAATTCCCCCTGCAGCCCCACCCCGATCCACCAAAAAATTGGGAAGGAGCAGGACGAGACGTGGATCAGCTTGGTGATGGAGCTGAGTCACTGCCTGCCGTCTCCCTGGCAGGGTTATGTCATTCCCTCGATTGGTGAGGGGAAAAAAAAAAAAAGCAGACTAACCCAAAACATCCTCATTTCCCTGCTGATTTTCCCTGTCTTAAATGAGAATTCTCAATGATGATTCAGGCGTATTTTGGATCTGTGCGATCAGCTGCTAAATTTAAGGTTCTGGATGTCACTCAGAGGCTATGAAAGGCTCCTGTGTCACCCCCTCTGGGTAAACTGAGCCACAGGACTTTAAAATAGCCTCTTCCCTGGGAATTTATCCCTGGGGGTCCATCCCTAGGGATGTATCCCTGAGTTTTTTTGCAGCACAGCGGCAGAGAATTATTAATGGTGATTAGGTGTTGTGGCCATGGATTTTTAAGCTCCAAATGGTGAAAAATTGGAGTTTAGTGACAAGAGAGGGGAAAAGAGAATTTAGTGACAAGTAAAATAATCAAATATCCAGTAAAAGAGAATGAATATGGGGGGGGGAAACTCCTCTTTTGTGGCGTGTCACCCCTAAAAAAGAGCATTTCCCACTCTGTTCATCCCATGGAAGCAAACCCACCTTTCTCCACTCAAACCCCCGCCGCCTGCGGCTCATTTCCCCCCCCTCAAAAAGCAACTCCAGCACCCCCCTCCCACCCAAATCGTGGAATAAAAAGCATCCTCTGGCCGAGCATCCTGGCCGGCTCGCCTCCCTTACCTGCGGGCGGTGCCGGGAGCGGTGGGCTCGGTGCGGGCCGGGCTCTTTGTGCCGGGGAGCCGCGGGCGGAGCAGCGTCGCTTTTGTCTGCCGGCGCTGCCGGGTCTGCAATGCAGCCCCTCCAACTGCCCTTCCTCGTGGGGGGAGGATGGTGATGGTGATGATGGTGATGATGGCAGATGAGTCAGCGGCTCCCACCCGCGCCAGGGAGGAGGGGGAGGACGGCAAGGGCGGAGGCGCGGGGGGGATCCTGCGCGTTGGACCCCCAAGCTGAGGATGTATTGAAGCTGGTTCACTCCTGAAGCCTTCAGCTGCGTGCTGGGGAGAATAATTTTCAGCCAGCAAGGAGCTGGGGAATATTTTTTTTTTACCTGCATGTGAAGATGTGGGGTGCTGTGGTACCCCCAGACTTTGGGAGAGCATTGTGCAGGGAAATTTGGCTCAAAGAAACCCCCAAAAATTTATATATATAAATATAAATAAATAAATATAAATATATATATATATATATAATATATTTTTTTGTTTGTTTTTTTTTGGGTTTTTTTTTTTTTAAATCTGAGATTGAGGGTATTTGGTCCTAAGGCAAAAATATCCCAGATGTGGAACTAGACGTAGAGGGAGACACCCAAAACTGGCATCAGTCACTGCCAGGGCTCAGGGGGGGCTTCACCCAGGTTGGGGGCACCTCCCACCCCACTTTTCCCCAAAATCTGATGCTGGGTGTTGGAGTGGCAGCAAAGAAAATCCCGATGCAACCCCTCAGACCAGGGAATCTCCCTGCCCCAGCACCACTGAGACCCCAAACACCCTTTTTTGGGTGCACAGGCCACATCATGCACCTGAGAGGCTGAAGGCAGCCCTTGCCCTCCTCTCCCTGGGCTTTGCCTGAGATCAACATTCTTTTGGTGCTTTAGGTTTTTTGAGTTTTTTCTTTATTTTCCTCCCTGTTCCCTGCGTGCAGCTCATTCCTGATGGTGCCAAGCTGTTCTGCCAGTGCTCGGCTTTCAGCCAGACTATTTCTGCCTCCTCCTCCTCTTCCTCCTCCTCCTCCTCCTCCTCCTCCTCCTCCCAGCACTGTCATGGGCAAAGAGGATCCCATGTTCCTGCTCCAAAATAGACCCTCGGTCTCAGCTGGGCCTTTGCAGCTCAGCACAGGGAAAATTCCAGCTGGGAGCCCCTTGGAGAATGCTGATCCCTCCAAGGCGTTGAGCTGCTGTGGTTTTGGGGGTCCCCCAGGCCATGGGGGGCAGTTTGGCTGAGCAGCCTCATAAGAAGCTGGGTGTCACACGTCTCCTTGCTTTTTGGGGTGTCTGTCACCTCCTCACACGTGACAGTCTGTGGTGTCCCTCTCTGAAAAGGGACCTGGGGCTGAACCCCAAGGGGACGGAGCAATGAGGGCACTGCTCTGGGTTTTGGGAGGGCAGCAAGGGGTACAGTGTCCTCTGGCAGCACAAACACCAAAAATGAAAAAAAGGGCTCCTCAGCTGAAATGAGGTCACAAACACTTGGGGTATTATCAGCCAGGGCCACCCGATGGCTGGGGACAGGCGTGGGACAGAGACCCGACTGAGTGGGGACAGTGCTGCCTTGTTCAGCATTTCTGGAGTGGGAGCAGAGGGGATGGCTGGGGTTTGGGGGCTGACACAGGAAGGGACACTCAGGCTCACACAGGGGCGCTGGCAGTGACAGGACTGGTGGCAGTGGCAGGACAGTGGTGGTGACAGTGACAGGATTGTGGTGGTGGCAGTGTCAGGACTATTTTGGTGGCAGTGTCAGGACTGCAGTGGTGGCAGTGGCAGGACTATTTTGGTGGCAGTGTCAGGACTGCAGTGGTGGCAGTGGCAGGACTGTGGCAGTGATGGTGGCAGGGCTGTGATGGTGGCAATGGCAGGGCAGTGGTGGTGGCAGTGACAGGACAGTGATGGTGACAGTGACAGGATTGTGGTGGTGGCAGTGTCAGGACTATTTTGGTGGCAGTGACAGGACTGCAGTGGTGGCAGTGGCAGGACTGTGGCAGTGATGGTGGCAGGGCTGTGATGGTGGCAATGGCAGGGCAGTGGCGGTGGCAGTGACAGGACAGTGATGGTGCCACCAGATGTTGTGCAAGCGGAAGGGCACCGAGCTGGAAGTGGTGACACCACCCAACGCCGGCTGCAGGCTGGCGCGGGCGTTCCCACGCCTTTGGGTGCCCCACGGGCTCTGCTGTGTCCGTGGAAAAAAGCGGGCACAAGGCTGGGGGGCAAATGGGAGCATAACTGGGACTTGCTGGGGACCCCCACCCTAGCTGCTCCCCTGGCATTCCCCCAGTGCTCCTGGAAACCCCAAATACCTCCACACCCAGCTGGGGCCCCCCAGCCTTAACAGGACCTCAAGTACCCCCAGTCCTTCTGGGACCCTGGAGACTCCTGTTCCTACCGGGACCACCATTCCTACCGGGACCATGGCCCCCTAATCTATGGGGACCCCTATTCTACCGGGACCGCTATTCCTACAGGGCCCCCCATTCCTACCAGGACCTGGGCCCCCCATTCCTACTGGGATTCCTATTCCTACCGGGACCCCTATTCCGACCGGGACCCCCATTCCTACCGGGATCCCCATTCCTACCGGGACCCTGGCCCCCCATCCCTACCGGGACCCCCATTCGTACTGGGACCCCATGTTCCCATTTCTACTGGGACCCCCATTACTACCGGGACCCCGTCCCCCATTCCTACCAAGACCCGGGGCCCCCCATTCCTACCGGGACCCCCATTCCTACAGGGACCCAGTGTACCCATTCCTACCGGGACCCCTATTCCTACCGTGTCCCCATTCCTACCGGGATCCCATTCCAACTGGGACCCCTGTTCCTACCGTGACCCTGTGTTCCCATTCCTACCGAGACTACCGGGCCCTTATTCCTTCCGGGACCCCGTTCCCCATTCCTACCGGGATCCCCATTCCTACCGGGCCCCCATTCCTACCGGGATCCCCATTCCTACAGGGATCCCCATTCCTACCGGGCCCCCTGTTCCTACCGGGACCCTGTGTTCCCATTCCTACCGAGACCCCCGGGCCCTTATTCCTTCCGGGACCCCGTCCCCCATTCCTACCGCGTCCCCATTCCTACCGGGCCCCCATTCCTACCGGGCCCGGCCCCGCAGTGCCGGCGGTTCCCGGGGAGGGCGCTGTGCCGGGGCCGGGCCGGGCCGAGCCGCGCCGGGCGGCGGGAGCTGCGCCGCGTCCGCACCGGGCCACGCCTGGGGCTGCGAGCGGGGCACCGGCACCGGCACCTCCCGGCCACGCCTGGGGCTGCGAGCGGGGCACCGGAACCCGCACCGGGACCAGGACCCCCGAGCCACGCTGGGCTGAGAGCGGGGCACCGGGACCGGCACCAGCACCGGGACCGGGGCTCGCACAGGGATCGGGACCTGCGCTCCCGGGCCACGCTTGGGGCCGCTGCGAGCCGGACACCGGCAGCGGGACCGGGACCGGGACTTCCGAGCCACGCGTGGGGCTGCGAGCCGGACACCGGCACCGGGACCCGCTCCGCGCCGGGACAGGTAATGGGGCGGCCACCGGGACGGGAACCGGCCGGTCCCGCGGGGTGCGACCCCGGGGAAGGGCCCCGGAACCGCCGTAGGAAGGCGGAGAGGGCACCGGGATCGGCACCGGGATCGGCACCGGAGCGGGAGCGGGGCGGCGGGACGACCCCCCTTGCATCTCGCTGGTTCAACCGGGGAGCCCTCCCGGGATCCGCCGGCTCTCCCCAACCCCACCGGGACCACCGGGCACCCAAGGCCTGCCGGCTCCCACCAACCCTACCGGGACCCCCGGGGTCCCAAACCCTGCTGGGACCCCCGAGCCGCCGGAGCCCCGCGGAGCAGCCGCTGCCCCGGGGGTCGCAAAGGAAGTTCACCTCGCACTCCGCCGTCCCCCCCGGGGGTCCCGGGCACTGTCCCCCCGTCCACCGCTGTCCCCACACTCTGTCCTTCCCTCCGAGCTTCGGGAGACCCCAGCGGGCGCCCTGCGAGCGGCTGAGCGCGGCGCTGGGGGGCTCGGAGCGGACCCCCCTGCCCGGAGCCCGCCGGTGACGCAGAGCCCAGCGGTGCTTTCCCAACCGGGAAGTCATTTTGCCTGTGCCGGCAGGCCCGGGCCCACAGCCGCCCTGCCCGGGGCTACCGAGCTGCCCAGGTGGGCTGAGCCCGGCCACGGCTCATCGCAGGGGTGGCTGAGGGGTGGGCGAGGGGCGTGAGACCCCCAAAGCGGGGATTTGGCCCGGCAAGAAGCGCCCGGAGCCGGGCCGGCCCCGCCGTCGCCTTTTGGAGGACGTGAGGCCGTGGCGGGTGCCGGAGGGGCTTTGAGGGGCGCGGGCAGGGGGTCGTGGCCGTGCGAACCCTGGTGGGTTCGCTGCTGGCTCGTCCTTGGCCGAGCTCCCCACGGAGGCTCCCCCGGTGCCCCGGCTGCAGTGCTGAGTTCGGGGGGCTCCTCCCCAGCGAGGCCCGGCCGCTGCTCTGCCGGATCCCAGCGCTGTCCGGGCCGTGTTTGCTAAGGAAATCAGGCTGGGAAGGGAAGGCTGCCCCCTCCTCCTCTGCCCCGCAGCCCCCTCCTTATCCACCCCGCAGCCCCCTCCTCATCCACCCCGCAGCCCCCTCCTCCTCTGCCCCGCAGCCCCCTCCTCATCTGCCCCGCAACCCTCTCCTCCTCTGCCCCGCAGCCCCCTCCTCATCTGCCCCGCAGCCGGGGGGCGAGGCCGGGTTTGGCAGGGGGGCACGGAGCCGGGGTGCACCGAGCGCGTCACAGCCT